GGGAGGGGTGCTGTGCGTGCAGGTCCTGATGTGCTATCTGCACAGACGGCCACTCCCGCCCTGGAGGCGCTGCATGGCCTGGCCCTGGGCTCCCCAGCCCCTGGAGGGGGAGGTTTCCATTGGTCTGGGTGTGTGTGCACGTGTGCCCATGTGTCTGTACACTCAAAATGTAGCCCATGTGGATTTAATTATTTTTCTTACATTATAGTGCTAATGTAAACATTTACACTGTTTAAACCATTTAATTTGAATAAGACTTACTCTTTCTAAATTTTTAAATGTTTATCTGAAAAACTGCTTTTAACATCTTGGTATTCTATGGCTTTTGTGGCCTCTGAGCTTCTGTTTGATCGGCGAAGACTGTGCCGCTGGTGAACCCTTGATGGAGAGGCCGCATTGAGCTGCAGTGGTTGTGACGGGGCTGCCCATGCGGCCCAGGTGCCCCTCCGTGGCTGCACCGGCCGGGCCCCTCACTGTACGCTGAGGAGATGCTGGGTCTGGCAGGAGGATGGGGGCGGTGGTGTGTGTGTGTATGGAGACAGGCTGGCGCGGAGTGGGTTCTGAACTGTTGACGCCACTGCTTCTCTAACTTTGTACTAATAATTATTAACTATGTAAGGGTTGGTTTTTAATGTGCAGACTTTTAAGTGATTTCTTTATCTGCAGTTGTAACTACATGACTTTTGTGTAATGTGGCTTAAAGAAAGGAGCATGCACTGGTCCAGGGCTCAGAAGACTTCGTTCTAGTACAAGTTTTGCTGCTTCACTAGGGAAGCGATATTGAATCTTTAATCTCTCTGTGCCCCGTTTTCTGTAACAGGGGGTGATGGAAGGAGATGCCTTCTCATCCTCCATGGAGACAGAAATGATAACATGGAAACGTTCTTTTAGAAAGTCCAGGAAGCAGGTGATGTTTATAGTGATGGTAATGATTACTAGCCTTCCCCTGTCCTTTTTAAATACTGAAAATAGAAAACACGAGTTTTGAAACAAATTGAAACAGTCCTTGGTAGAGAATGTGTTTTAGCAAGCCAAATGTAGTAAGTCAAATTAGCAGACATTGAAATCCAGTGGGAAAACTCGTTGGGAATTTGTGTACTGATTTTGTAACGGCGAGACGTTTTCATGTAAGTTAAGGATTTGTTTTTCGACAATTCTGTGAATGCTTAGCTTTTTTAGTAACAAGGAGAATTGATGGGAGTTTCAATCCGTCATATTAGGGGATTGTGTGGGGAGAAGACTGGGGGACTTCAAACAGAATTAAAAGACTGTACTACTTTGAACAGACTTAAAATTTCTGAAACATGTTCAGTTTATAAAGTAATGCAAACACATTATTTGCCTGTAGTCGCTGAGCCTCTTGGTTCTCACACAGCACATCCTGAGCTCACTGGTGTTGTACAAGCCAATCGACATGTCCTGGGGCAAAAAATAGATTGATACCTTTTTCCCCAATTCACCAAAAATAATAATAGTGGTAATAATAATAAGTTAATGATAGCATTTTCTCATGTTTAAGGGTTTTTTTAATATAAATTTATTCTAATTGTTAGTGTTTGCTATTACTTGAAACAGCAAAAAGTTTTAACTGAAAAACTGGAAATAGTTACTTATGCTCATTTTTACTTTTGTTCCTCTTGGTTGTGGTTTATTTTGGAGGACATGTGCTTCTGTTTGTGAGTTTAAGTTGCATGAAATACAGTCATATTTTCTGCTAATAAACTGCTTCCGTGTTCATGTGATAGAATGAACATGTCTGTTTGATGAGGTTGTTCCCCTGTCCTCAGCTCTGCAGCTTAGGGGTTCAAGCACCACTGACTCACATGGCAGTGTTATTTGAGTTTCTTTACTGAGTTGTGGATGGCACAGAGATGTTCCTTTAGTTGTGTTTTTAATCTAGAATACCCTGTCCTTCTAAAATATTTTATTTCTGGTTCATATTACCTGATGTACTACATATCAGGTAAATGGAATATGGAATGGGCTGGAAAACATAAAATAGCACCTGAAAGAAGTCTAACTTCAGAATGAATGTTGCCACTTTGAATGAGTTAGAAATGGAAAAAATTACTTTCATGTATGAGTCATATTTGAATTCTTTTATGTCATGGTTGTGTGTTAGCTTAAAATTCTGTATATTATAAATTAGTAATAATCTACGCATTGTTTTATTGCTTCATCTTTAAATTGTCCGTAGTGCTTATAGAGATACAACATGTGTAATGCATAAACGTATGTGCTGAGTATATATTTTTTTATGGCTCTGATAATGTGATATCATGGAAAATTATTGAAAAATATTTGCAATTGGTTTCTTCCAAACTAACCTTTCATGGGTTTCACACACACTTTTATAAATTAAGTAGTAAAGAATATTTTACTGTGACCATTTAGTCATTGCAATTAATGATAATTTGTTTCACTGAAGCTTAAACAGGGAAATAAAAGATACTAATTTCTATAGTTACACCTCAAAAAAAGAGAAGAAATCTGTGAGTTTCTGTGGGTTGTGTTAGAAATACCTAGTACATAGTAGATCTTGCATTAAATCTGTTCAGTATCCAAGGATCTACTCTGTGCAAGACGTCCATCCCCCTCCTTGTCGAAGACAGTCTTAGAAGATGCCTCATTTGCCTTTGAGGAGTGTGTGGTTCAGCAGAGGGATCAAGTG